CGAAGTGTCACAGTATCCCTATAGCTATACTACTTATAATGATTATTTCACTGATTGAATCGTCGAACGCGCATCTATAATTTGCTTAGACCATAACTAAAAAATGGCTTCCGCTATCACTCCACACTTAAAAACTTTTTTTTATTAAGTTTTCTTATTTTTTATTATTGTGCTTGTCATTAATTAGGTACAGAATAAATTTATTTTAATTTTTAAAAAATTTATTAACCCACTTAAGATCTTTTTTTTTTTTTAATTCAACATAAACCTAAAATTGTCAGAAACTGGGCCAGTGTCAATAACTGGTCTTTTACCTTATTTACATTTTATTTAAATCTGTTTCTTTTGGTGCATCTTTTATTAATATTTTGCTGCTGTTATCATAAATCGACACACGATAGGTACCTACAGTTAAGTGCATCTTGAATCGAGAGAAACGTTTTTACATGAAGAATGACGTGCCTGTTCAAATTCAAGTGCTAACTTGTAGAATAAACCATTAACTAAAAGGCGGTAGTTTATAGATAATTAACTCCTAATTTAATTTTTAGTACTTAGGCACCTTAGATTTAACGAGTTATTTTAAGCTACAATTCCTCAGCCAATCAACCTCGTCTGCCATCAAATAATTATTGTACCTGTAAATTAAACCTTTTTTCTTTTTAGTTAAATGTAGGTACACCATTAACTTTAAACTAGTTTATCAACTAAAAAGAACCAGTTTCTGTACTATTTTTAAAATATGTAATTCCCGGAACTCCACAGTTTTTAGTTATTGACAAATCTACATAATTCGTAGCTGTATATATCATATTTGTGGAATACATTAAAGTCAATAAATTGTTGAATGACAGCAAATCAATTAGTACAATTTAAATAAAATATTTTATTTGATGTTTAAGTGCAAAAGTTTGTCAACAATAATAAATAATGAATACGATAATGAAAACTGTAAGAAATGTACAGAATTTACAACTTTTATTTAAACAATTATCTTACATAGGGTTAAAGCAGAGTTTTCGGTTAGTTACCCAATAATATGGCATTCAAAAACCAATCAGATTAACATGTTTCCAAGATACATGGAATTGGTTTTCTGAAAAATCTATTTAGTTTTTTTTTTTTTTTGGGATGTTTCTAATGGTACCAAGAGACAAAATTCATAACACAACAACAACATATTTTACTATTTAATTATTAGTACTTCACTACCGCATTTTATAAATAAGGTAAAAATTAAAGGAGAGTGAATGTATTTATTTCAACACCTGCAACTAGTCGGGATCGGTTTAAAAATAGGTTTGGCAGTTTTGAGCCAGAACGTAAATGTTTATTGAAATATCCCTGGGTAGTTTATTGGAATAATAATTTCGGTGTCATCATTCCAAAAGCCTTTGATGAACTTTTTCTATTTTTTTTTTCTCACCCTTCAGAGCATAATTTAGATTTCAATTTCGCTTCCATTTTCCCTGCAGCCCACGAATGCGAGGTTTCGTGTCATTATTGTAAACCGAATGAACTTCGCAACAATGAAATGATCTAGGTGGGAAAAAAGGGAAAAAAAAACTGTAGGGTGGGAGTGATTATTTTAGACGAAAAAGTTATTTTAACAATAAAGCAATGAAATTAAAGCTATAAAATTCTTTACAAACAACTAAAAAATGCTAATTAAGTAATAGACCAATATGCATTCGATTAATGTAACTAGGACAGACTGGAAGCCGCATAGACTTCCTGCTCACTAGGGATGAAAGGTATGTGCAAAGAGCGGAAGAGTCACAAAATATGGCTAACGTCGGATGGATATAGTGAATGAGGCTAGTTCGAGCGGTTTTTTTTTACTCAATTGGAATTCGTCGTTAGTCTTCTTGCTCATGGTGTATCGCCTTTTAAGTTTTCCTGGAGCAATTTGTTTAATGCTGAATGCGTATGGACAGCATTTGGCAGGAACTTTCTGTAAAAATTGAGCACACCCATGTTTTGCCTTGTTTCGTTTTGGATAATTGATTTTATTAGGTAAAGGGCGTAATACCTATTGATTAGATAGAGCAATTTAGAAAAGATACTTTTTTCGTCGAATTCGCACTTTTTTTATTGAGTAGTGCACCACATGAAATTAGTCGTATAAACACTGTCTGTAAATGTTGTACGTACTGTTTTGCGGATTTCAACGCAACGTGAATATCGTCCATGTAAGCAAAACAAAAATGTACCTAAGCCTCGAACTCTCTTCTACTTATTGTAAATTTCTCCGGAGCTAAACGTTATGACCTGCTTGGTATAGAGAGACTTGAGGTTGTATTTATGTAATGCCTTGTATGCATAGGATGAACGAAGTGACCGCTCGGGCGTACTAGTGACGAAAACTACTTGAGTATGTCGTCATACCTGGATGCAGCGGACTTGTTATCCGTAATGATTGTGATAGAGCATTGATTCAGTTATCTTGCCATGGGCATTAATCACTTGGGATATTCGTAAATGTCAGCACCTCTGTCGACATCTTATGTCATTGAGGCCCATTTTCACAGAGTTGACCACTTCTATCAAGTATTGTAGAATCATTACTGGGGTGTTACAATCGCTACAGTAATCATGAGCCGAGTCCATGATGCTGTCAACAATCTCTGCAACCTTATCCAGGTCCATCTATCTCATTGAGACAGATATCAGCTGGATGTTGTCGTGTAGTAGCGATCAGATTGTTCGTATAAGGCTGTCGGTGAATGTGGTAGATACGGTCGATACGATTATAGCACGTACTTCTGCAGAATAGCAAGGATCAAGATTTCCAAGAACATGCCCAAATTTCGTAGGTTTAGAAGTAATGTCAGAGGCATTGAAACTGCGATCCTCCATGCAAAACCATGTCTTGGTTTCGGATGGGGCAAAAAGGGCCTGTTTGATCGCTATTAAATGATTCAGTTTTATTGAAACATTTTACATATGTTCCGGCCTAGGTTCTCACAAGAGTAATATTAAATGTCAAATGTAATGGGTTTATATTTATAAGTACTGTTAAGACAAATATATGTGCAGGTAAAAGTGCGTAGGGGGTATGTATTTAGGAAAAGCCTTCAATAAATTTTAATTCTTAAAAAATTATCAACAATCATAAATTTCTGATTTGTCGTTAGTAAACGTAGGTTTCTTGATTTTAAATTGCTCCAAAATATTTAAACGTTAGTCTTTATTTTCTACATGTATAATTTCAACGTTGCTGTAGCGAGCACGAGCGTGTTTGTACGCGATCGGGCATACGTGTGCGTGGACGGCTTATCGATTCGCCGACTAGCCACGGGCGCCTTTATTCATTTGCGCCGTATTTGTAAATGTGTGTGTCGTACCTGCGTTCTGGGAAAGAAGTTAAATAGTTCAAAGAAAAAAAAATGATCCGGATGTTTCTAGAGAGTTCCAGAAAGGAAACAAAAGAGTATTTATAGGAAGAGACGATCGCCGAGAG